TATCATTTAAATCGCAGTACAACTGTGACACAGAAAAGCCTTTTATCTCTGGTTCAGATTTTAAAATGTTTATCCAAGTTAAAACATAAAAGACAACCGGCTACAAAGTTGACTTTTAAAATAATCTCTTACACCAGCTAGTCTAAACCCTGTCTATACTTTTATCCCATGCTAAAGGAAGTGGATTGCTACTTAAGGCAAGTTTGTGTTGCCAGAAAGAAGGATTATTATTCAAGTAATTCACCAAAGATTGGCATTCCTGCTTAAATCCATTTATATTCTACCAAAGTTGTTTTTATCTAAAGGTACCATGCTCCAGCCGTCTAATCCTGTAATAAACTATTTTTCCTAAGTGGAAGATTTCTTTTCCATTACCTGGTTTATAAATATCTACTTGCTCTTTCGACAAGTTAATAAACAAATGGCGATAAAGGAGAATATTTGTAGTTGAGGGTTGAAAAGAGGGGTCCTTGGTTATTTTCTTGCAGACGTTTCATTACCCAGCTAGGTAACATCATCAAGGGCCCCTAATAAATAAGTCTTTAAATAACCAAGAGCCCATTGGTCAGTCCCTTTCAGTTGCATGATTTTATTAATTCTGAAATATTCTGCAGGCTTTTTTTTTTAAAGGTAGGATGGGTCCATCAATTTAAGAATATTTTTTTCTATATTTTCGGTAAGTATTTTCTACACCCTGGCTAGATTCTTACATATCAGGGTGCAGAATACCTATCACAATTATAATTTGGGCAGGGTTCCAAGGCTGATGCTGATATGAATGGTTTGCCTGGAGCCTTGTAAAATACAGATGGAAAACATTGCAAAGATCTGAGAATTAGAGTAGAGCTCAGAGTTTGCAGCATTCAACTAACCAACCTATCTTTCAGGTTTCCTGAAATTTTCACTAGAGAATCGAATCTTAAATAATTTTAAACTAGAGTCCACTAGTAGACATAGGAGCTGGGCATCAGAAAAGGCAGCAATTTGTTAATTTGATTTTTAAAAATCCATGATTAACTTCTGCTATGTTAATGCAAGAAACCAGCATGGATGTGTCCACATACATCAAGAGTCCAGCTGTTTCTGTACTAGAGACAAATTCCTTATGTATCTAACCACACCTGGCAAAATATTCTATTCTATTCTATTCTATTCTATTCTATTCTATTCTATTCTATTCTATTCTATTCTATTCTATTCTATTCTTCTATTCTATTCCCCATTCCCCATTCTCTATGTATTCTATATGTTCTGTATATTCTATATATTCCATATTTACTCTACACAATTTAGATTTGACTGTACAATTTCTCAAATATTGTTTGTTCAGTAGCCCATAAGTCTAAATTCTGGTTGCATCTTTCCATTATATGATCTTCATCTTATTTATATTTTATTTCTCTTTACTGTGACAGTCCATTCCTCAAAGATAAATTGAGCGTATATTGTTCCTTGTGGAATTACATCAGTGGATTTCAGTTTTTGCTTTCTGCTCTGGCTGTTTGGGTCACTAGCAAAGGATAAAAAGGGCTCAGGATAACTCATCTGGTTGCTTCTCTGTGGTTTTTGTCTTTCATCAGGGGTATTAGTCATCTTTCCTTCTAACTGACTGTCCTCCCCAGCTCCCACTGTAGACACTAATACCCATCTTTGTCTATTTTTTTTTTTCTTATTCTTATACGCTCCATGGAAATCCTTGCAGGGAACATTAAGTCCATTTTACACGTAAGGCCCCTGATATTTTTCTGATTTGTGTTTTTTTGCCAGAAATTTTAGAGAGAAGATAGAAGCAACATTTTAAGAAGAAGGTTGATTCTTTTATTGTGATGGGAGAGGGGAATAAGAAAAAGAAAATCCAAATTACTGGATGCCCATGACAGATTCTGTTAGCTACTTTCTGAGATCAGGAAAAGAAAAACAAATCTGTTTTTACGTTTATAAATGATACATTTGTATGTAGGTAAACGGAATTTTGCACACGTGTTTTGAACAGTGCCGGAACACGAAAATATTTGGATTGATGGACAAGAAAGGTGTTAGCTAATGAATTTTAGGAGTTGGCATTTACTTTGACTGTATTAATTACAAAGCAAGTTTTACAGTGACAGAATTCTCTGCTTTGCAAAAGTTGCTGGGTATCGGTTGGAAAGCTGAGTCAACCTTGAGCCAGTGAGAATCAAACTGCTCACAGTTGGCAGAGTTATGGGAAGGAAGGAAGGAAGGAAGGAAGGGCAATAGCAATAGTCCTTAGACTTATATACCACTTCACAGTGCTTCACAGCCCTCTCTAAGTGGTTTAGAGAGTCAGCATATTCATCCCAACAATCTGGGTCCTCATTTTACCAACCTGGTCATAAGTCACTTTTTTCAGTGCCATTGTTACTTTGAACGGTCACTAAATGAACTGTTGCAACTCGAGGACTACCTGTAGTCTGTTTTCATTCTCATTTTAAATGTTTCTTAAAAGCATTTTTTTTTTTGCAAGAAAGCCCCTTTCCACATTTTTGTTAATGGAAGACTGGTACAGAAATGAGAAACCGTTAAAATGAACAATATGCTTCAGCCTTCTTCAACTTTAGAATGACTGCACAACAGGCATCGACATCTTAAAGTATGTTACATGGGTTCTTCTGATTCGCCTCGACAGAAGGTTGATATTGTTCCATCGTTTTAAGCAAGATGTAAAATATCCTTGCAAATTATTTTTTTTTTAGGCGTTGAGAATACCGTAGTTTTTCATAATGCTGTACAGGGAGTTGACTGCTGTCTGATATGATCTGGTATATTGAGATGAAAATAAAATACCATTTCCCTCCCCCTTCCCTCCCCCCAGGGGCAGTTTTTATTCCAAGTTGTAGACATCTTTCCCATGTTTGAATGTGTTCTATATCGGAAAGGAAAGTTTTGTGTTCAGACAAAATTTATATACTTGAATTTTTTTGGATGCTGTATACTTGCGTTTGCCTTAAATGTTATTCTATTCTTAATAGCGTTTACTAGGTTGCTCTTACTATAAAATTGAATCTGCTTGCTTTTTTCCCCCATCTCTCTTCCCAAAATTTATTGGGTGCTTAATAGTCAAGCTGGTAAAGATTGCAGAAGTGTTTCCATTCTAACAGCTAACCTCTTGGGTTGAATTTTTCCACGCTCCTGGCTGTAATTCAGATTGCTATAGTGGAATACAAACCAAAGGTAATAAAACATCTGTCACATTGGCTTCAATGGAATATAAATGGCTTCCACTCAATGGGAAAAAGCTTTCTGGAGACTGTACTTCATTAAGCAACAGCAAGCATAGTAATGACGTAATATAATGGTGCAGTCAAGAAAAATAAGCATCAGAATGGTATACGAATGCCTATACAGGTGAAAAACTATTTTTTTAATTAAAAGTTTTATAAAGATTACAGTATAAACCCCCATACCCACCCCAAAACCCCACCCTCACCCTCACCCACTTCCCAGAGCTGAACACAGGGCTACAAATATAATAATCAAAATCTATCTAGCATTAACCAACTATTAAAATAACCAAATCCATAATGCACTTTAACTCCCCTTTAACACAAATTTAAACAAATTAAAGTTAAACACAATAATAAACATATTAATAACCTAAATATTAAACAATACAATACTAATATTAAAAATAATATCATATAATTAAAACTAACAAAAATTCCATTAAAATAAACTATTAATAATAACAATACTCTAGAGTTTACTCATAACCCAAATGAAACTTTTTAGTCCCATATTTATTCTGAATATAATCTATCCATCTTCTCCAGACCGAGATGTATCTTTCTTGTGATTCATCCTTCAAATAAGCAGAAATTTTAGCCATTTCTGCTAAATTTGACACTTTAAGCGTCCATTCTTCTATAGTGGGCAAAGAGTCCTTCTTCCAAAATTGGGCTACCAATAATCTTGCAGCTGTTGTAAGATTCAACATCAAATTCATTTCTCAGGTGAAAAACTATTGACTATATTTTAGCACTTAGTTTTATTATGATGACTGTATAAAATTGCAATTTAAAAAGGGACGCAGTTTGGAATCTGGCTTCCCCATTGATTGTTCCCTTTCTAAATGCAGATGGCAACCCACCTGCTCCAATTGTTGTCCAGTGGCAACAGGAGTCCATGGCTGTCCCTCTTAAATTAACTAAAACCTTCCCCACAATGAAGTGAAGAATTGTGGTAATCACATCTAGGGTTTAATCTGCCTCAATCCTGGTCAGTGATGAGGCCAACCAAGTGTTTAAATGACTAGGCTTGTATGCTACGGCACACTAAATCTTGATGTTGTAAACCGTGAATAAACCCAGTTGTCTGGTTCTCAAATCGTGCTCAGTCATAAACTATGGTCTACGCGCCACAGAAATCAGGTTTACACAATTTATTAAGCCAAATCCAAAGCGGCACATTAGCCAACTTTTGAAAGAAAAGAGAAGAGCTTACAGAGAAGTGTTTATTTCCGTGGCTAGTTTTCAGTTAAAAATGAGGTATGTGTTATGGTCTGCACTGACCCAGTGTATGTATTTGGTAAAGGAGAAAATATGTAATTTATTTCCTAGTTTCATAGCAATAGTGATAGCATTTAGGCTTATATACCCACCCCTTAGCACTTTTATAGCACTCTCTGAATGGTTTATAACAGGGGTCTTCAGACTTGGCCCTTTTATGACTTGTGGACTTCAGCTCCCAGAATTCCTCAGCCAGTGTGCCTGGCTGAGGAATTCTGGGAGTTGAAGTCCACAAGTCATAAAAGGGTCAAGTTTGAAGACCCCTGGTTTCTAATATCAGCATTATTTCCACATTGCCCCCAACAATCTGGGTCCTCATTTTTATTGACCTCAGGACGATGGAAGGCTAAATCAACCATGAGCCCCATCAAGATTGAACTCTAGACTGTGGGCAGAGTGTTGCCACTGAGAAATGTACTGTATTTGTCTTCTTTCTTTTGAATCTGTAACAGATGGTCTTGTGTTCTTTTCCAGACAACAGCAGAACAGTTGCAAGATGCTTATTTCTTGCCCGAATTTGTACTTTCTCCACAAGGAAGTTTTTTAGAAGACACCACAGGAGAGCAGTTCCTTACTTACCACTTTGATGATCAGGTTAGTCTGCTGCATATGAAATGAGGGTGATCCTTTTATTCAATGTTGGGAACGTCTCTGCTTGTTGGTGTGATGGGCTGGTTCATATATGAACCTGGAACATAATCCATATGAACGGCTGCAGGACTTGGGTTTGGCTAGTCTAAAGAAAAGAAGAAATAGGGGAGACATGATAGCAGTATTCCAGTATTTGAGGGGCTGCCACAAAGAACAGGGTGTCACATTATTCACCAAAGCACCGGAGGGCAGGACAAGAAACAATGGTTGGAAACTGATCAAAGAGAGAAACAACCTGGAATTAAGGAAAAAATTCCCGACAGTGAGGACAATTAACTAGTGGAACAACTTCCTTCAGAAATCGTGGGCGCTCCATCACTGGAGATTTTTAAGAAGAGACCAGACAGCCACTTGTCTGAGATAGTATAGGTTCTCCTGCTTGAGCAGGGGGCTGGACTAGAAAACCTCCAAGGTCCCTTCCAGCTCTATTTTATTGTAATCTAATCTTTGAGCCATCTAATTTACGAAAAGAAATGGTGCAAAGATAGAAAAGAAGGGAACAGATGTTAGATATTCTCCTTTTCGTGTCCCACTGAAAAATGAGAACGTGTGTGCTCATAAACCTCATGCACTTGTGTATGTCACTGAATTGTATTCTGTGTTAACTACGGCATAAAAATGTCCTTTTATTGAGAGATGACTCAGATTAGTTTTGCCTGTGTTCATTCATAAGTCCATTCCATTCCATTTCCACATTGATCTGCGAGCGTTTGTGGTTAAGTCAAAGATCTGCATACTTTGACGATGAAGTCAGTAACATAATGTGTTTTAGGCACAATTTGGGAAGTTTTTAAAAGCCCCAAAAATTCACCCCCAATTGTAGAGAATGGCAAGAATAACTGTTTTCTCAAACACATGTTAATTCAGGAAGTGGAAATTATATTGGTTTCCTTTGAAATGAAGATCAAATTGTCTTTGGTAGTCAACCAAATACTTAACAAAAGGATTTCTTATAATCGCCTTCCAGAAGACATAGTGACATGCAAGCGATCGAAACGTGCAAACCAACTCTCATATTGTATTTTTAAAAAATGGAACATTTGTAATATTCACAAAACCATCTTAGAGAAATCCCTAAATACAGCTAACACTCCATAATGTGTTAGCCATGGAATGCATCACTTTCCATGTTTATTTGATTTTTTTTTTTTTTTTTTTGCAGGGCTGGGTTATTTTGTGCGCCACGAACTTTATTAAACAGTGAAATTACAAAGGGAGTTAGTAATGGATAAAGCAGGGACTCTGGAAAATAACAAACCATGTTTCTTCTAATTAGACCGGCAATGCGTATTCCAGAAGCTAGAGATAATTGCGCTAAATGTGGAGTAGAGATATAATGGCAAAGAAAATAGCACATAAGAGCCCCTGTTAATCTTGGCAAATGTTCTAAAGCTAACCTGGGAAGTGTGTCACAGGCTTTGGACATTCGTTTGTAACACGAGGCCTCCCCCAAACACGTTGATCTCTGCATGAAATTGATGGGAATTGTACATGGACACTTAAAGCACAGAGGTAGCACAGTGTGAGTAATGCAGAGATGTAAAGCCCTCCCCCCCCAATCTGTTAAATGGTAAATAGTTTCCTTTCCCCCCTGCCCAGCCAGCCTGGCTCCAGATAAACTCTGTTCATGGCAGCTATTCTTTCCCTCAGACATAGTTTGATATGTGAGAACGATGGCCATGTTAGATTACAGTTGTGGGGTCTTTGGTGCTCTCTGAGCTTGGTGGTTTCCTGACAGATGTTTCATGCAAGTGCACCAATGATGTGACCTGGTTGGGTGATGAAACATCTGTAAGAAAACATCCAGGTTCAGAGAGCACCAAGGTCTCCAAAGTTCAAGGTTAGTTACAAATATTCTCTTCTGTCAGAGGATTATAATTTTCAGAAGTGGTCAAGGCCGCTATCTATCACCATCTCTCTGTGGTATTTCCTGTGGACCGGTCTTAGTTTGCTACCAGTCAGTTGAGATTTGAATCCACCCTTCAGATGCAACCGTTCAATGCCAACGTGAAATCCCAGGTCCTCCTTGGTTCCACCAGCCAACCCATCTTAGCAGATGGCTCTTGGGGCATGCCTCTTCTGATCACCAGGGAGGAAGAGGAGAGTCTGAGCAGAGATGGTCCCATAGGTCAACCAGCCCCAAACCTTGAAGGTTTAACGAAGAGAAGGACGAAGGGGGACATGATAGCAGTGTTCCAATATCTCAGGGGCTGCCCCAAAGAAGAGGGAGTCAAGCTGTTCTCCAAAGCGCCTGAAAGCAGGACAAGAAGCAACGGATGGAAACTAATCTAGGAGAGAAGCAACCTAGAACTAAGGAGGAATTTCTGGACAGTGAGAACAATTAACTAGTGGAACTCCTTGCCTCCAGAAGCCGTGAGTGCTCCAACACTGGAAGTTTTTAAGAAGAGACTGGACAGCCATTTGTCCAAAATGGTATAGGTTTCCTGCCTGAGCAGGGGGTTGGACTCGATGACCTCCAAGGTCCCTTCCAACTTTATTATTATTATTATTATTATTATTATTATTATTATTATTATTATTATTATTATTATTATTATTATTATTATTATTATTATTATTATTATTATTATTATTATTATTATTATTATTTGAAGGGGGCAGCCAACACCTTGAATTGTAGCCAGTAGCTTATCTGTAAAAGAGGTGAGAAGATTTCTTATTGCTTTGTGTGTATGTGCGTGTGTGTGGCCAAAATGAAATCAGAGTTGTGGGTTAGACTGATGTATGAATCAAGCCTTGATTTATATTCAGAGGAGAGCTCCTGAAAATCACTGGGACTTAAAACCTTTTCAGGATTCCACTGGCTTATTTCAATGTGTCAGGTTTGATTTAGTGAAAATGTAGGGCGTTGTGTGAACTTTGCCAGTGACCTTATCCCAGAGAAACTTGGTGCTTGAGAAAATAAAATTAAGCAAAATAAATAAATAAACAAACACGATTTGCAGTGAAGGAAGATCTTAGGGTTCATCTTTACCCTTGGCTGCCCACATGGTTTCTCCAGCTTTCGGTTGCTGCTTTCTATCTTTGCAACACAAATATTTGTTTCTTTCCTGCTACGATATTAAGTTATGTTATCCCAAACCACGATTTTTCTCTGAAGATAGAACGAAGGACTACTTCTATCTATGTAATCTGGTTATTCGCTGCTGAGCTGGCATTTAAGCCAGTTTAAAACGAATGTCACTGCTGCTTACATGTTTTTTTTTCCCAAACATGTATCTTAAAAGACTCACTGTTAGTTTGAAATAGAGACAAGTAAAATATTAATAGGAACAACCCGAAGCCTGTTCTACTGCAGCAATGCTGTGTGTGGATTCATATTCTGCACTCATAGTTCATTATATTCAGCTGTATGAAGCTCTTTAAATGCAACCTTGTAGGTATAGCAGATGAAAAACCTTGCAATTCCACATATCCATATATTATTCAATAGCCGGGAGAAAAAAAGGACATTGATTTGCTCCCGAAGTATCTCTACAGTCCCTGTTTCATACTTGCACTATAGCGGTTAATATATTTCTAATTTTATTAAAGTACTATTATTCATAGAGTGTGCTAGCTATGCTTGAATATTTACTAAGAAATGTGTTTCAGTTCTTGGCTTGAAAGCTTACTTCGTTCATTTTGGACCAGTTTGTATTTGGCACCCAAAAACCATGCTCCATCATTTACACACAATTACTGGAATTTATACATATTAAACAACATAAAATACAATAGTGGCTAAAATTCTGACAAATCGCTGTAGTTGAAATTGTCCCCAAATAGATTTCCCCGTGTGGTATTTGAGCATTTTGTCACTTAGACAAAATGCTTAGCCCTGATTGAACCCAAAATAATCTTCCTGCTTATCGTGGATAATCCTAAGGACTATCCATACAGTATGTTTAGTTGGCTAGTGGACAGTTTAAGAGATTATCTACACTTTGCTATAAGTAATGGGCATTGCCTTTCCTTGAAACATCATATTTTTTATTTTTGCTTCTGTCTTTCTAAGTTGCTCAAGAAAAAAAAAACACCAGTTATTTTTTCCACCAAATATTAGTAGTTCTGGATTACTTTCATACTGTTGTTTTTTCCCCCAACATTCAAGGTAACTGCTTCCAAGTAATAAAATCATTCCAGATGATAGACCACCAACAGTGGACATGAGTAAGATTATGGGACAAATATGGTCATCTCCTTGGTTGTTTTTTTTCGTAACTAAGATCTGGGACAGCCTCTCCCAGCTTGATACCATCCAGCTGTGTTAGATTTCAGCTCCCATCGTCCCTGATTCTTAGTCACTTTGGCTCTGGGCGCTAAAGAGTTTGGAAGATGAAAGGCTGGATGAATGTACAATTTATTTCTTTTTGAAAAGAAACAGCAACGAATGAGAAGTTCCGAGTAGGGTGGAGAAAGATCCTGTAGCAAGACAAGTGAGAATGCTCACTCATTTTCCAAGTTTGGTCCTTCGTGTTATTTTCTTCCTATCTCTGCAGATAAGCAGTTTCCTGGCAGTTGACAGCTCTGATTATCTGTATGGGAAAGTTGGATGGGGAGCACCCATTTAATGGGGAAGGTGCACGGATTCTCCGAGTTCTTCCCACAGTTTTTAATGCATTACATCAAAACTGTATTACTGTTTGGGCCAAGAAGTGTTTCTCCCCGGTTCTCTTTTCTCCGTCTTTCATTTTCGGATCCATCCTTCATTCCCTTGTCTCTTTTTTTTCTCAGGACTTTCTCCGGTTTTTCAGTAATAAAATCAACTGACCGTGCTTTCATTAGTTTATCTCCAGCATCTTTCTTCTACCCTTCACATCTGACCCATTTTTCTTTACGACTTATCTCCTTAATTCTTCAAAGTCAGCTTTCAGCTTTTGGGAGAAATCCCATTTCATATCTAGCTTTCTTCTGCTCCTTGACTCTGATTCACTTTGTCT